TCTCTCTCTCTCTCTCTCTCTCTCTCTGTGTGGAAACTGTGCAGCTCCTCCTCCTCCCCGTTTCTCCCTTGCCATCGTTCTTCTCCACCTCCCCCCTCCTCCCTCCTTCGTCAAGTTCTCTTCCTCCCTCCTCCCTTGTCATCGATCTCCTCCTCCATCCGCCGTTGTCCTCCCCTTCCCTCCATCATCGGTGCCGTCCTCCCTCTGCCCTTCTCCTTTCCCCCTCCTCCCTCGCTATCGATCTACTCCTCCCTCCTCCATTCCCTCCCTCATCATCGACCTCCTCCTCCCTCCGCCGTTGTCCTCCCTTCCCTCCATCACCGGCGTCGTACTCCCTCCGCCCTTCTCCCTTCCCGCTCCTCCCTCGCTATTGAACTCCTCCTCCATCCTCCATTCCCTCCCTCGTCATCGATCTCCTCCTCCCTCCGTCATTGTCCTCCCCTTCCCTCCATCATCGGTGTCGTCCTCCCTCCGCCCTTCTCCCTTCCCGCTCCTCCCTCGCTATTGAACTCCTCCTCCATCCTCCATCCCCTCCCTCGTCATCGATCTCCTCCTCCCTCAGTCGTTGTCCTCCCCCTCCCTCATGCATCATTGGCGTCATCCTCCCTCCGCCCTTCTCCCTTCCCCCTCCTCCCTCCTCCATTCCTTCTCTTGTCATCGATCTCCTCCTCCCTCCATCGCTGTCGTCCCCCTCCCTCCATCATGTCGTCCTTTTTTCTTTTTTTTTTCATATATGAAATTTTTAATAGTGCACCACTGCTCGCCCTCCCTCCTTCATCATCGACGTCACCCTCCCTCCACACTTCTCCCTTCCCCCTCCTCCCTCGCTATCGATCTCTTCCTCCCTCATCATCGATCTCCTCCTCCCTTCGCCGTTGTCCTCCCCTTCCCTCCATCATCGGTGTCGTCCTCCCTCCGCCCTTCTTCCCCCTCCTCCGTCGCTATTGATCTCCTCCTCGCTCCTCCATTCCCTCCCTCGTCACCCATCTCCTCCTCCCTCCGTCGTTGTCCTCCCCTTCCCTCCATGCCCGATCGCACCATGCGCGCAAATGCGCACGGCGCGCGCACTGGCGCACTGCGCATCCAAGTGCCGCGCAGCGCATCCCGCATTGCGCACTGTGCATCGATGCGCGCGCATCGCGCATCCCCGACGGGCGCACGGCGCGCTGCGCACCGCACCGCATCGCGCAGCGCATAGATGCGCCACAAGTATGGCGCAAAGTTTTGTATTGGTCCTCTCACGCACAGGCTCTTGGTAAAGGTAGAAGACTGACGGGGGAAAAAAAATGAGAGAGAGAGAGAGGGACTCTGGGTGATGGGCGTAATTTTGACAAAAACAGAACAAAGAAACAGGGAGCGGACAAGTGCTGAGGGTAGCAGGAGAAGAGCGATCAATTATTATGTAGATAATAATCCAATAAGGAAAACGAACCAAATGAACTAAATCACCCCATGCTGTCACGGATTTGCGCCTCATTCCACTACTCACTGAATGGAAAATTGGCGAACGTATTGAGCACAAAAACGTGGCAAGATGCTTTCACCATTCTTACAATTGGCCAGTAGTGGAACAGGGCTCTAAGCTCTTAGATGAATGCACCTTACCTGGTTGGACTTCTTTCTGCTCTCTCTTCTCTTTCCAGTTGGTTGTTCTGTTCTTCTCTTTGTTCCCCCCCTTTTTTTCCATGATTTTCCTCTTCTTATTGTCAGTTGCCTTTTCCCCGATTATTTTCCCCTTCCTCTTCTTCAAGTTCTCCTTGTCTTATTATTATCTGTTGTTCTTGTTCTGGTTGTTGTCGAACTTGTTGTTTTCCACGCCAGCAGGTCTCATCTCTGAAATTTCTTTATTAAGCACTTGAGCCCAAACCCCACACACCCACCTTCTTGGGTTCAACAAATGCGACGTCAAACTTCTCAGCCCTGTACACAGCACAATCCAGAAGAAGAGCAGGCAACCGACCAACCAACCAACCAACCACCCATTAAGTGTTCAGAAGCTCAGAGTAATAGGCAACAGGAAACATGAGAATGTCTCTCCATTTTCTCTTTTTCTTCCGAACATTTTCAGCCCTTCATTGTTGTTATAGTTGGGAATCCTTTTTAATTCGTTATCTGCTTGGAGGAACTCTCTCTCTCTCTCTCTCTCTCTCTCTCTCTCTCTCTCTCTCTCTCTCTCTCTCTCTCTCTCTCTCTCTCTCTCTCTC